CCGCCGCCCTGCGCGCATAAAGCCCCGCGCTCGCCCGCGCGCCCGCGGAGGCGGCGGCGTCCGGACCCCGCTCCCGCCGGGCTCCCGGGTCCCTGAGGGCGCGAGAGACCCCGAATCCCGAGGCGGGCCGGGACCAGGGCGCGGCCGCACCCCCCACCCAGCCCAGCGCGGGGCCGGGCCGTGGGAACGCCCTCCCGGAATGAAGCGCTTCCCGGTGCCTTCAAGGTAGCTCGGTTCCGGATCGGGGACCCTCTAGTCCTCCCTCTCAGGTCCCCGCTATCCAGAATTTAAGAGCTCCCCAATATCCCTGGGTTGGGAGGGAGATCGCCCCAGTGCCCCCCACCCCTCGTGTTCCAGCTAGGGAGAAGCCCTCCATCCCCCCAGTGGGAACGAGAAGCTGCCCCCAAGGCCCCCAGTTTCCTCCGAGGCTGATTCAGGGCTCCCCCTCAGCGGCCCTCAGTCCACCCTCAGTGTCCCATACCCTCTATATCCAAATTGGGGACCCCTTTCAATGCCTCGCGTCCTGCGTGGGGATCCTCCATCAGCACCCCAGTGGCAACCGTATCAGTTCCCCGAATCCCTTCTCAGCCCTTGCTGTCCCCTTCGACTCCCCCACATCCTTTCTGTGTGGTCTATTGAGGAACCCCCCTGACCCAAGCCCGGGTTCTCTGTTTCCTGCCACCCGCACCCCCAGTGTGAGGAGTCTTCACTGTTTCTCTCACTCCTGGCTCACTTGTCAGCCCTACTCAGACTTCCGTCTGGATTCGGGAAAGCCGGGTCCGGACACTCACCGGCCCTCCCCACCGAGGCTGGGGGAGAGGGTCAGTGCCGCCTAGAACCTCCCGTTTCCAGTTTAGGAGGCCGCCGGCGCAGCTGTGCACCGTCCCCTCCCAATGACCCCCTTCTTTTGCAGAGTTCTAAGCCCAACCCCATCGGATTGGAAGAACCTAAGCCGCCTACCCACTGCGTTTGGAGTTACTTCTCTCAGTCCGCCTCAGTTTGAGATTTACTCCCCATGCAGGCAACCGCCTTCACTTCTCCTTTCTCCTCCCTACGCCTCCATCTCCGGGTCTCTGAGATCCCCTCCCGCACTTTCGCCTAACGCTCCTGGGAGCCACCTCACCCTCCCCGAAAACTACCTCCCTCCAGCCAGGGAACTCTAACATCCATTCCAGATCACCCGCGGAGCCAGGGGCCACCCTCCCTAACCCCACCTCACCACATCCGTCTCCTCTCAATTCCCTGGCTGAGACCAGCCAAGAAAGGGTCAAAGCTGGAGGCTAAGACAGCCACTCCCCCCACATCCCCATCCCTGCTGGGGATCTCAGTGCCACACTAGCCCCTCCCTCCCAACTCACCTCCCAGTCCTGCCCCCTTCCCCACCTTAAATCCACCCCGTATAACCCAGTGACAACACTCGATGGCAAGCCCCGTGCTGCTCACCTTGACATCCATCCTTCAGTCCGCCACATTTTATTAATGTGTGCAGCAGTTCTGGGCGGCATAACCTTGACCTCTGAAAAGGTGCCCATCCCCCTCCTCTCAGTACACCTTCCCTCCCGCCCACCCCAACCACCGCGCGTACAAGAACGTGAGAGACTCAAGTTAATGGTTTCCTTGGGGACCTTCTGGGAACACTCAGCAGGTATATCCTGCCACCCCGGGCGCATAACACTAGAAACAAACTTGCTTTTTCCTGTTTTTATTGTCCTACTCACCCCACAGTTTCTCAGCATCCCCTGGACTGGGGGGGTAGGGAGCAGCTCACACAGGTTTTTCTCACCATCTCAATCCAAATTGGACTATCTGGTGTGTTCTGAGAGTGACACAGATGAAGGTCAGCAGGTGGAAAATCCGGTGTCAGGGAACTGGCTATTCCTAGTCTAAACTTCGGTTCCTTGTGTGTAAAATGGGGCCAATGGGGAGGTGCAGGGCGAGGGAAGGAGCCCAAGTGAGAATTGATTTGTGTGCTGATGCTGTTGGACAGGTGGCTTGGGGAGCGGGGTAGGAAATAGGTAAGGGTCATTTATTTAGAGCCAGCCAAGCCTCCGTAAGTAGTACATTGAGATAGGATCCACTTATTAGTACCCTCCTTCAGGTCCTCAAAGGAGGCAGTATGTACTTGTCACTACCTGGTTTGAGGCACTGGAACGTGTGGGGTGGACTTATAGAAGTCACCTCCTACCGTAGGTTCATCTCAGCCTCGCTGCTTCCATCCACTTTGTTCACAGTAGGGGTAGCCCTCACAGGACAATGCAGCTGTAAATGCATGATCCTTGTAGTAAATTGAGGATCTCAGTGGTATTAAGGAAAAATGATCTTTAGAGCAACTGGCCCAGACTCCAGAATTAGGAGATTAGAGGGTGCTGTTCCAGCTTTTTCTCTCCACTACTACGCATCACTCAAAGAATGAAAGAATAATTTGCTTTCTAGTTTAAAACAAACAAACAAACAAACAAACAAACAAAAACCTTTCCAGAAAGCCAAGGGACACATGACATTATGCCCAAGCATTAAGATGCAACTTGGCACATTCACTTATTTTACAAATATTTATTGAACACCTGCTACCTGCCTGACATTGTCTTGAGTGCTATATTCCTACCACTACCTTTGTGAAACGTTCTTTCTAGAGACAAGAGTCAGATAATAGATAGATGATAGATGATAGATATAGATAATATGTCAGATGTTGGTAAGTGCTGTGGAGAAGGAAAGGGGATAAGAAGAGCCGGAGGTGTGAAGAAGAGGGTGATAAACAATTTTAAATCAGTAAATAGGGAGGGGTGATGTTTTAGCAAAGACTTGAAAGATATAAGGTACATTAATCTCCTGTATGATCCAGAACTCTCATTTAAGCAAAATGTCTGCATCTCTTGAGTGCGACAGTAATTGATATTCACAATTTGACTTTCATTGCTTTAAAACAGCAGGTCCCAAACCCTAATGTGCGTAAAAGATCACCCAGTGATTTTCAGTAGACACAGGGTGGATAGGAGTTCTGAAAAATGCATTTTTTAAATGCATCTGGTAGAGATCAGATGATGCCGATAGCTGAGGTTTTTCTTCAGACCGCTCTTGAAGAAACATTGCTCTAAAACAGATTGAAGAGTCTTTTAACTTGACAACAACAACAAAGTTAAAGATCAAATTACAGTGCATGAGGTTTTAATGTTGAGAGTATTTCACTGTGTTTTCATTCTTTGAAAAAGCAAAGACCAAAGCAAAACCCTGGGTTACCCAGAACATTCCATTTCTTGTCCATACAGGAGAAGAGAAATTTTATCATAAGCTGATCATGAGCCCAAGATTTATAATCAGTTTGTTTTGCACCCTTCCTATCATTTTTGCTCTAATTTTTCTCTATGCTTTTTTCCATCTCCCAAATTTCTGGACTTACCCAGGAGGTGATGGGGCAGGGTAATGAGAACACTTGGTCACTTGGTCCTGGAACTGCCACTGTTTCTGGTGGTGATATGCCACTCAGCCTTCTGAGCTTCCACACTCTCTGAGTTGCTGCAAGATTTGGGTGAGATCATGTGTATGAAAGCACCTTAAAAATTCTATAGCACTAGGAAAAGATAAGGAAGCTCTGTGACTGTACATTTCAGATCCAGTTAATTTGGCCCAGCTCAAATTCAGTTACCTTCAAGATAGTGTGGTACTAGCATAATGATACACATATAGAATAGAATAGAATTGAGAGTCCAGAAATAAACCCTCACATTTACAATCAACTGATTTTTTTAAATCAGGATACCAACATAATTCAATAGGAAAAAAACAGCCACTTTAAGAAATGATGCTGGACAACCTGATGTCCACATGCAAAAGAATTAAATTGTACCTCTACCTCACACCGTATACAAGAATCAACTCAAAGTTAACCAAAGACCTCAATGTAAGATCTGAAATTATATTTAAAAAATCAATCAGACATCATTAAATTTAAAAACATTTGTGCTTCAAGGGCACATGGGTGGCTCAGTCAGTTGAGCACTTGACTTCAGCTCAGGTCATGATCTTGGGGTTTATGAGTTTGAGCCCCAAATTGGGGCTGTTGCCAGTGAAGAGCCCACTTCGGATCCTTTGTCCCCCTCTCCCTGCCTCTCCCTCACTTGTGCTCTCTCTCTCTCAAAAATAAATAACATTTAAAAAAAAACACAACTTTTGTGCTTCAAAGAACATTACCAAAAAAGTGGAAAAACAGGGGTGCCTGGGTGGCTCAGTCAGTAAAGCATCCGACTCTTGGTTTTGGCACAGGTCGTGATCTCACGGGTTTATAAGTTCCAGCCCCTCATCGGGCTCCAGCTCCATGCTGACAGTGGGGAGACTGCTTGGGATTCTCTCTCCTGATTTCTCAGCCCCTTCCATGTGCTATAAACAAACAAACAAACAAACAAACACACTTAAAAAATAAATTTAAAAAGTGGAAAAACTACACAGAATAAAAGAAATTTTGTAAATCAGATATTCGATAAAGACTTATTATCTAGAATATACAAAGAAGCCATACAACCCAAAAATGATTAAAAATAAATAAATAAGTAAATTAAAAATGGGCAAAGGATCTGAAAGGACATAGCTCCAAAGAAGATATATGAATTGCTGATAAGCATTTGAAAAGATGCTCAACGTCATTAGCCATCAGGAAGTGCAAATCAAAGCTACGATGAGATACCACCACACAACCACTGGGATGGCTATAATCAAAATGACAGATAATAACAAGTGTTGGCAAGGATGTGGAGAAATTGGAACCTTTGTAAATTGCTGGTGGGAATGTAAAATGGTACAGGACTATGAAAACAGTCTGGAAAAGATCCTCAAACAGTTAAACATAGACTTGCCATTATAATCCAGCAATTCCACTCCTAGGTATGTACCCCCAAAGAAATGGAAACAGTATCCATGCATATCTTATACATGAAAGTTCACAGCAGAGTTATTTATAATAGGCAAAAAAGTGGAAACAACCCAAATGTCTATCAACTCTACACAATGGAATATTACTCAGCCATGGGAAAGAATGTGGTACTGATCCATGCTACAACATAGAGGAAACTTGAACACATTATGCCAAGTGAAGGAAGCCAGAAACAAAAGTTCACAAATTGTGTGGTTCCTTTTACATGAGATGTCTACAATAGGCAAATCCACAGAAATGGGAAGTAAACTGGTGATTGCCCAGAGCTTGGGGTGGGGGCTCTGGGGAGATGTAGGGAAAAATAGTGAGTTACTATTAATGGATATAGTTTCCTATTTGAAGTGATGAAAATATTCTAAAATTGATTATGGTGGTAGTTGCCACTATAATTCTGTGAATTATGAATATACAATTCTGTGAATATGCCAAAAACGTTGAAATATATACTTTAGGATGCCTGGGTGGCTCAGTCGGTTAAGCATCCGACTTCGGCTCAGGTCATGATCTTACAGTTCATGGGTTCGAGACCCGCATCGGGCTCTGTCTCTCTCTGCCTCTCAAAAATAAATAAGTGTTAAAAACTTTTTTTAAAGAAATGTATTCTTAATAAAAAAAATAATAAAATAAAAAAAATAAAGAAATGTATTCTTTAAATAGGTAAGTTGTATTTTAATTAATTATATCTCAATAAAATTGTTACCTCCAAAGTCATTTATTATAAACCTTTCTCTTATCCCAGTGCCTATCCATCAAAATGAATTTACTCTTGGGGCACCTGGGTGGCTCAGTCGGTTAAGCGTCCGACTACGGCTCAGGTCATGATCTCACAGTTCGTGAGTTCGAGCCCCATGTTGGGCTCTGTGCTGACAGGTCAGAGCCTGGAGCCTGTTTTGGATTCTGTGTCTCCCTCTCTTTCTGCCCTCCCCCACTCGTGCTCTCTCTCTCTCTCTCTCAAAAATTAAAAAAAAAAAATGAACTTACTCTTTTCTCCCCTAGCACCTTGTTTTTATCATCATCATCATCATCATCCTCTTCATCATCATCGTCTAGAAATCCTTAAGTACTTTCTATATACCAGACACCATGCTAAGCACATTTCAGGGATTTTCCCATTTCATATTCCCATCAGTTCTTCAAGGTAAGAACTACTATATTTTTATTTTACTGACCAGGAAAACAAGTCTTAAAGAAGTTAAGTGATTTTTCCAAAGTCACATAGTAAATGGGAAAAGTAATAGTTAAGATTTGTTGAGCAGTTATTGTGTTCTGGGCATTGTACTGAGCACTTCAGGAAACTCCTTCATCTTTACAACAACCCTATAAAGTGGGCCCTTATTTTACAAATCCAGAAACAGAAGCATTGAGAGGTAAACATGCCAATAAGGATCAGAATGGTGGCAAGCGGGAGAGCTAAGACTTGAACTCAAGTCTGATGTCACAACCTCCACGATGCACCATCACATTGTATTATCTACCTATTCAGTGCATAACAATCCACTTACTATTATAAATGCTTCTGGACAGTCTGTTATGCTGGAATGGAAGCTACTTGGGGGCAGGGCCTCTGTACTATGCCTTTTTGCAATCTCTTCTACCACCATCCCTTCTCAAGACCACACCTTACAACCAGGGCTTAATAGTTGCTTATTAAGTGCTTGCCTAGAACTAGTCGCTGTGCTAGGGATGGAGGGTGAGATGGTGAAGGAGACAGACAGCTACCCCCACTCTCACAGAGCTTACAATCTAGAGACATACAGTCACAAGGATTTTACATACATCTTTTTAACCACGTCATTAAAAAAAGTTTTTTTAATGTTTATTCATTTTTGAGAGACAGAGTGCAAGCAGGAGAGGGAGTGCAGAGAAAGTGCAGAGAAAGAGGGAGACACAGAATCTGAAGCAGGCTTCAGAGCCTGACACGGGCTCGAACCCACAAACTGTGAGATCATGACCTGAGCGGAAGTCAGACACCTAACCCACTAAGCCACTCAGGCGCCCCTTAACCATGTCATTTTAATCAGTGCCGTAATCCAATATAGTAAGTTCTATTAATATGCTTGTTTTATAGGTGAAAAAATTGAGACTCAGAGTCATGAAGTGACATGCCCAAGGTCATGCAGCTAGCAAGTGTGAGGGGCCAGTCTTAAGAACTCAGCTCTACCTAACTCGAACATTATGTTACATTCTGTCTCATTTTTCCCTCTGACTTTTCCCCCCTTGCCCAGGCAGGGAGAGAATTAAATAAACTATTCTGCTCGCCCAGCTGAGAACACCCACAGTCTGTCCAGACCTGCTGACTCTCCCACTTTCTCACTGTCGCTTCCAATGACAGCCAGAGTCGGTTTGATGTGTTGGTGAAAGAGGGATGCTTTTGGAGTTTTATGGTTTCAGCATCTGAAGTCGCCTCTCTGCTGTAATTAACTATTTGATTTAGTCTGGTCAGTTAATAATTCCACATCTGAAGACAAAGATGCTAAGAGCATGCCTCCTTTATTTTTTTAAATATTT